CTGCTGCTGCTGGGAAGTCGCTGCAGGCTGCTGCGCCCGCAGCAGCGGCTAAAGTCGAACACGAACCTGAAGCCCACCAGCAGGGCCTACGGCCAACCAAGAGTGAGGGGCTAAACCCTAAACCCTAAACCCTAAACCCTAAGCCCTGAAGTTGAAGGCTTTAGCAAACCCGGCCTTGGGCAGAAGGACCTGCGGCGCAGCTGCTCAAACCCTAGGCCTAGGGTCTAGGGTTTAGGGTTTAGGGTTTAGGGTATGCGTGCAGCGACGAAGCGGGTGCGCTTTGTTGATGACGCTGAGCTCGTTGTTGGTGTGCTGCTGGACCCGCTAGACCCTCCCAGCAGCATCAAAGTAAACCCTAAACCCTAAACCCTAAACCCTTCACCGTACGCCCTTTTTGCGGCATGCCAGGCCGGCTGCGGGAAGCCCCTGTAAACCCTATACCCTAAACCCTGAATCCGCTAGGGTTTGTGTTGCTGCAGGGGGCCCCGCGCTGCGGCATAGAGGGCCTGCATGCAGCAGCAGCAGCAGCAGCAGCAGGTAGCACTGACAGTTTTGCTGCTCGTCGCAAGCGCCACGAGGCCAACGAGACTCCCGTACGCAAACCCTAAACCCTAAACCCTACCCTAAGCCAGAGCGACAAGTGCAAACCCTAAACCCTCAGCGCTAGGCCGCAGTACTAAGTGCAAGCCCTCAGCCCTAAACCCTAAATCGCAGCCGCCGGCGCAAACCCTAAACCCTAAACCCTAAATCCTTGACTGCTGCTGTGCACAGAGGGCCCGCGCGCTGTGCTGGGAGCCGCAGCCCGCAATGCCTTTCGCTCCCCCAACCCGTAAGCCCAGAAATGCTGCTGCTGCTGCTGCTGCTGCTGCAGCCGCAACTGCAGCACAGAGGAAACCCATGTAGGTTCAAATCCTAGTAGGTTGGTAAACTTAATTAACAGGAGTTGCTGCTTGTGCTGTTGCTGCTGCAGGCATTGTGTCTTCGTTGCTGAAACTGGAGCGTGTGCTGCGGCTCCCAGCAGCAGCAGCAGCAGCAGCAGCAGCAGTGCCTGAGACAGTGCCTGCTCCCAAAGCAGATTTTGCTGCAGTGCCTCCCTTCAGCGCCGCAGGCAGCCGCATCATTTACCCCTTAGCAGACGTACATGCTGCTGCTGCTGGGCCTGCTGCTGCTGCTGCTGCTGCTGCTGACCCCCTTCAGGAGGGGAGGGAAGAGTCCCCTGCCCAGGCAGAGGCGACTGGCTGCAGCACTGCAGCAGCAGCAGACCCGGCGGCGCAAGCTTATTGCAGCCAGCAGCAGCAGATGCTGCACCCCCGGCTGCAGGAGCAGCAGCAGCAGCTGCTGCAGCAGCAAATGCTGCACCCCATGCTGCTGCAGCAGCCGCCCCCCATCTTGCTTCATGGCTTTGTTCCCCCACCTCTTCCGGGGCTGCTGCTGCCGCCGCCGGGGGTGCCGCTGCAGCAGCAGCAGCACATGCAGCTGCAGCAGCACATGCAGCTGCAGCAGCACATGCAGCTGCAGCACCCGCGGGGCCCGCAGGAGTACCGCAGCAAGCAGCACCACATGCAGCAGCAGCACCGGGCGCCGGAGCAGCAAAATCCAGATGCGCCCTGGCGCTGATTGGCACTGCAGCAGCAGCAGCAGCAGCTGCTGCTGCAGGTGGCGACAGATGGAGCCACTTCCCCACTTCTGCGCCGCAAGTGCGGCTGGCTAGCTAGCCAAGTCTGGCT